TATATATATATATATACCTGGGGGTACCAGAAGCTCAAAACAAGAGACAGTAGCAACAGCAAGAAAAAGCTGATTGGCACTGGCAGAGACAATTTGGCAAATTTTTCATGGGCGCAACCCACATACTCACAGGCTTTCCAACGGTATAAGATTTATTGCCAAGAAGCATTGTTACAACAAAGAAATAATCTACCAAACACAAATTTCCTTACTTTTTGTGCTTAGTTCATAAACTGTCTCACACACACGGACTTAAAATGAATAATGGCTCCTGTACATTTTACACCTTACCATTATGTAGGGACTGCTGCAATATCTTTTTCACTAACTGCTGCACTACCCTCACTTTAATTGTAAAGGCAGCTTTTATTCCTTAACCCATACCAAGATTTGGACTTTACGCACTGAGTGAAGAGACTGTTGCACCGAGTGCTGTAAGCTATACACAAAGTATAATTTTTATATTGTGGTTTCTCATGCCAACCATTTCTACTATAATTTATACTTGTTACTAAACTTGCAGTATGTTGCACTGGAAATCCAACTACCACTTTTCATTTTGCAAACTTGTCAAACAGTTTACCTTCTCCTTGATCCACAGCTATACTGTCACATTATTTAACTAATCCCTTTAATCACATTGTTTTATATATCTTCTTGGTATTGTTGATGGATAATAATATTACTGAAATTAAAGCAGTTTTCAATTTCCAATTAAAGTATTAATGGTGACTATCAAGTTTCTTTGTTTGGTTTTTATGGCTGGTCAAAATGTAAACAATAGCAAACATGAGTAGTATTGTAATAATGCAGAAGCACACTGATTACTTAACTAGAATTTGTAATTAATTCTGGGGCTCCGTTTATGTTAGCTTTACTAAAGAACATAAATGATAGAACAAATGTTGCCGTCCTTGAACACTTGACAATGAAGGATAAAACAAAAGGCATTACAGTTTGTGCTTTCTGGTGTATTTTATTCTGAATTTTTTTCTGACACTCAAAAACACAAATTCACCAAAGTGTCCTTTTAGATTCATTACCAGGCATACAGTAAAGCTGAAATGAACCAGACAAGAGTGTTCTGTAGTTAGGGGGCCTCCCTAGTGTAGTGGTTAGAGCACTCGTCTTCCATGCGGAAGGTCCAGGATTAAAATCCTGCTGGGGTTGAAGGTCGCAAGGTCGCAAGAGGTTCCAACTGCCGAATCAAACGAGATCAGATTCCTTAAAGGGCCA